TTATTATCAAGAGCTTTAGTAAATGGTTGAATGATTCTTTGATTTTCTTTATCAACTTGGAATTGCTTAAACATTTTTTTGATTTCATTAGATTCGATTGCATTCTGTAGAATTTGTTTCTCGTGCAACAATCTGGTTCGTTCTTTGTCAGCCTTAACTACCGTTTCTAAAACTGTCGTCTTTTCTTCGACGCTTTCCAATTGTTCAATATACAAAACACGAATATTTTTTGGAAATCCGACAAGTTTATTATAACCAATAGATTTCAAAAATGCTATGAATTTAAAAAAAAATTGTTCATTTAATGATATTATCTAATAATGTTTGATTTTCTGTTTTCTTTCTTTTCTTACTTGATTTTCCTACACCATTTCTTCCAATTAGCCCATAATGAACTCCTGTCTTGAATTTTACATGTGCATCCACCAACAATTCTTTATCGCCTACAATAACATTGACATCTTTTAAATCAACCTTTAAGTTTATAAATAATATTATTATTATTTAATTATTTTTTTATAAGTAAAAAAAAAATAAATTAAATAAATACTTCTTTGGATAATGTTTCTAACGTCTCAGTATGAAATCTTGATTGTTGGGAGTATGCGACAACTTCTTCTACTGCAGTTTTCTTGCTGTCATCATTAGTGCTAGCAGTATTGATTAATTGTTTCTTTGATTTTTTGTCAACATTACTATTAATATTGTTGGTGTTAGTTTTCGTCTCTTTGTTAGATATCTCCAGCTATATATATATATATATATATATATATATTGTAGAATAGATAGATGCGATAATTATTGAATATTAAGGTTTTGTGATTAATAATAATAACAATAATAATAATAACAATCACCTGATTTATTTTATTTAGAATTTTATTAGATAATTTTTCTAATTCTTTATCATTATCGCTATTTTTAACGATATTATTAGCAGCTAAATCAATATAAAGTTTTTCAATGTCGTTTTTAGGAATTCCAGCATCAACCAAAAATTGTTCGGTAACTTCTCGTAAATCCGTTTCGTTATTGTTGTTAGAGTCTAGGTCATCAATTAAACCTGTAATATAATCTTTAATTTCTTCACTGAATTCAACTGAAGAAGGTAATAAATCAAAGAATTTTTTAGATAATAAAGACATTTAATTAATAAACTTTTTATATGTGTATTAATATTAATATACAAAAATTTGGAAAATGTCAACGAAAGGTTTATTTAAATATTTTTAAAAAAGGTCTGCGGCTAATAGTGCCAATTAATCTAAAAACAATCAAATGTTACATTAATATCAACATCATTATTATAATAAAACACACTTGATTCATATCCCTTTTTAGATATATAAAATTCAGTTCAAATGTGAGAGAGAATGAATGTTAATACTACAGTCGTTGTTGTGTTTTTAAATGGAATACCAATATCATTATCATAATAAAACATACTTGATTCATATCTTTTTTAGATATATAAAAATCAGTCCAAATGTGATAGAGAATGAATGTTAATACTACAGTCGTTGTTGTATTTTTAAATGGAAGAACAATCTTTCAAAGAGAAGAAGCACTTTTTCTAAAACGATATTGAATGGTATTTATGACAATCATGAAATAGCACGAAAGCTGATAAATGTTCATTACTAATTATATATATATCACATGAACTAAAAACTTATCTCTGATTATTAAGGAATAGTATCGTGAATTATCAATATTTCTAACCACTGTTCCGTTGTTTTACTAGAATTGTTTGCTTTTATAATTATTTCTTCTCCATCATCTAGAGTTTTACGACTAACACACATATCATGACAAATTAAATGATTTTTATAATCTGACTTTAATACTTCATTAAATGTTGCTGCTTTTAATATTTTCACTATTTTTCATTTGCCTGATTTCAATAAGTTAGCTTTTATATTAAACAATTGGGCCCGAGTTTGCAACTGATAGTCTCAGGACAATAATCCCTACATCATCGCATATTCAAAATGTTACTTCTGTAACAGTATTCTGCCTTGACACCTTCTTATGATTATAATAATATTATTAATATTGATTACAGAAAGTAAAATATTATCAATGAAAATCTTGTAATTACCCAACAATGATCTGCTCTGCGTTTTGATTTCCAATTAAAATGTTTATAATAAAATAAAAATATCAATCAATGCAAATAAAAAAAAGTACCTCTATTATTAACACATTTTCTTTAGGAGACCCAAACCAAGCCAGACAACAACACTCACGTTTTGTCACCTTGGGTTCTGTCAAAAAATAAATTGTTTTTCCAAAAAAAAAAAAAAAAAAATCAATTCGCGTCTGTCCTACCAAATAAACCAATGGATAAATAATTAGTGTGTACGCGTCAATTGTATCACAAAACTTTTATTTTTAAAAATATGTCTACCAGGAACAAAAGAAAGCAAAAACAAAATGCCGATGAGGCTGTTGTTAGGTAAGTGTTTTAAGGATGGTGGTGGTAGTTATTGCCCGCTGCTCGTCGTCACTCTAGTTACAAAATAAATTTTTAATCAACAAACTTTTTTAACTTTTTTTTTTTAAGAACACCATCAACACAAAAAGTAAATATTAATGATAAATTTGATAAAAATATATTTAAATACATTAGTCCGATCTCAATAATCAAATCAATTGATTTGAAACTAAAGCCTCAAAATTATCCAAACTTCTGGTTTAAAAATCAGAAAGAAGCAAATACTTGGACTTGTCAACTTAAATTTCTTAAGAAAAAATGGGTCTCTGATATTAAATCAGGCAAAAAACCGGCGAAAAAAAATGTTTGTAAAAAGGCAATAATGGAACTATATAAAGAAACGCCACAACTTTGTATTGATGTCAGAAATGAGATGCTTAAATTGAATGATCAAAAACCAGATACTATTGTCACTTTATTTAAAAATAGTTAATAATCAGATACCTTTAATAATACTATTTGATATATATATATTTAGAAGAAATGAGAAAACACTATTAAAAACATATAAAAATATTTGCTATAATAAATAAATTTGATTTCGTATTGCTTTTTTTAAAATCATTTTAAAAATTTTTAAATATCAGTGGTTTTTTGTTGAATCATCAAACTGGCCATAATAACGCAAGAATATAAGGGATAAAATCAAGATTTACAGTTGACCGAACGAGAATTTTTGTTCGTTATAGCCAGCTATATGTGTTACGTGATGGTATATGGGGTCTGATCAATAGAAACGAGGCATGTCACCAAAAAGTTGATTTTGAGTTAACAATATTTTTATATGTAATTCATCACAAAGAACATTTTTAACTTAGTAACTATACCCACTTTGCTTATAAATGTTTCGAGATATTTGAGGAAAAGTCTGAGGAGTGAAGTAAAAGACAAAAGCAAGAATTATTAGACCAAATTAAGCAGTTAGAAGAAGAGAATAATAATCACAAAAAGGAAATCAAAAGGTTAAAGGCTCAGTTAGAACAGTTAACTTCTCAACAAGTTGCTCAAATTGAAGTTAAAGAAACTAAAAAATGACCTTGATTGAAAATAAAAGGTAATTAAAAATTAACAGAGTTGAAAAAAAAGTAATTATTTGTTTTAGTTATTCTGCCAGTTTTCTTTTTTTTCTTGATTCATTACTATAATTCAATACTCTTTTGAAAACTCTTTCCTCTTGATAAATTTCATAGGCAATTCTTTCTTTTCTAAATGTTTGCAAAGATTTGGTATCTGCTAATTTAAAAATGTAAGGAGCAGTTTTTTCACCTTGTTCCTTTTTTAAAATACTTCTAATGGTGCTATAATTCTTGGGTTCCATAGTAGACCTAATGTAAATTAACTTCATATTGACTATTTTTGTCTAGACAAATATCATTGATCACATTGCATTGATAATGTAATTGTGATATTAAATAAATAATATTGATCCCTGAAATTCTTGGTAATACCAATGTTCATTATGTCTGGTTTTGTTGCAGCATGCCCCAAATAATAATAATTATTAAATTTATTTAAGGAAGTGAGGTCAAAACCACTTCACCATATCGGGATATTTTAGTATCCGTTTTTGTAATTTTCATTTACCTTCCTTCATTCCTATTGGAAACAAGGATTAGTACATGTTTAACAGGAAATTTTTTCTAAAGGTTTTATTCGAACGAAAGTATACTTTTCATCAATTAGTGATTGGCAAAACAAACAATCGCCAACTTTAAATATGGACAATTACTAGATATATAGTATCTCATAGACTGTTTTCATATTAGGAAGTAATACCCTTAAAGAAAATTAGTTACATCTATTTTGGAACTGGTTCTTGGAACCGGTTCCATGGAACCTGAACCGAACCGCCCCATACCTAGACATAATCCGTGATGCAAGACATAATCCGTGATGTAAATATAGCAAAATTCGTAATGTGCATATGGATTAATTCAAACTTTAACCACGTATAAAGCTTTTTAATTTTTTAATTTTTAAAGAGTCTTGAGCGAAACATCAATTTTTTATATTCAGAAAGTTTTTGTTAACTAACACCAAGAAATTGTCATGAATAGAGATGGGCAAATGGCGTATAGTTGAACACTATACGACACTATACGATACTTTACGTATAGTGCGTATAGTACGT